TTAAATTCCGTGTTCTAGGATTAATCTAGGTAAATCTCATTGGAAAACGTTTTCATAGAATTTGTGGGTTTTGTCGGGGTGGGATTATCTTGGCCTTTCATGATGATTGTGTGTTTGTGATATGATCTAGGCATGTAGACTTCTTTCATTGTGTCTGAACTGTAGCCTGCCTCTGTTGAGTAGAATTTTGTTTCTGTTTTTGCTGTTGTTCAAGCTTGGTTGCTTTCAGATCAGGTGTGAAGAGTTGGTAGGTCAGTTCTCCAGTTAGATATATTCATTAGTGACGGCAGGGTGGTACTGATTCTAATTCAGAGGTTATCAACAAATGTGGTGGTATGGCTCAGGTCTATGTCTGTGTGTTCATGAAAAAGCTGTTTAAACCCAGCTATGCCTGGGAGTTTGGGGGAAGGCACGCTGAAGTTCTGTGAAGCTTACAAGTCTGGGTTTGTATGAAGGCTGCAGGACCCAAAATATGCCCTCTCAAGCGTGGGGAGATGTGAGTAGATGGGATCAGGGGCTCTCAACTGGCTGGGCTGGTGGACAAGAGGTGTAACCACAGGTGGTAGGCCTGTGAATATGCAGACTGAGTGAATAGTGGGATCTGGAACACTCACTCACCTGGTTAGGTTGGTTCACAGGTTATGTGACCCAGCTAGGTATGAAAATGTGATACTCATGTGGGTGAATAGGAATCCAGTGCACTCACCTGGCTGAGCAGGTGCACAGTCTGTGTGCACAGCTAGATTGGAATTGTAGGGATGCAGTTGTGGGCTGAGTTAAAAATCTTTTCTAGACTAAGAGAAAAAAATAAAACCCACTAGATTTCTGCAGTTAGAAATCTGACCACAGGGTGGCAGTGTTCCTCAGCTGATGCACAGAAAGGCCACCTTAGTGAATTTCAGATGAACAGGCCTTTTTTATTGGCTGAGCAAATAACTCAGCATGTGTGGTTATAACAACAAGGGTCAAACAGAACCCTCTAGAAGCTGCTGGATAAAGACCGAGCACCTACAATTGATCTTCATAGGAAGCACAATGAAGGCAGCAGTTCATATTTTATTCATTCTTTTCTGCCTTTGGATGAACTGTGAGTGGAGGACTGTGAGAATGTTAGTGAGAGGACCTTAAATATCCATAAGAATGGCTTTATTCATGTTTTTTTCTTCTTACCATAGGGAAAAAACAAGGAAGAATAATAACTTAACAACCTTTCTCCATTCTCTCCATCTTTCTGTATAGGGGGGAGCCACGGCGAGAAGGTGGAGCAGCATCCTTCCACCGTGAGTGTCCAGGAGGGAGACAGCACTGTCATCAACTGCACTTACACAGACAGTGCCTCAGTCTACTTCCCTTGGTATAAACAAGAGCCTGGGAAGCAGCCTCAGTTCATCATTGACATCCGTCCAAATGTGGAAAGGAAGCAGAGCCAGAGACTCACTCTTCTATTGAATAAGAAAGTCAAACACCTTTCCTTGCACATCACAGCCACTCAGCCTGGAGATTCAGCCATCTACTTCTGTGCAGCAGATACACACTGCTCCCCAGGCACCTGCAGCCTGTCTTCAAACCTGCCACCAGGGCTGGGGTGACACTCTTGGTGCTATGTCAGACATTTCATTACAACACTCGTCACATTGTTTGTTTGAGAGCAGAAACTAACATATAGATTTTAAAAGCACATATGATAAAACCCAAGATGACCGAGGAAGTTTAGATTGATGCTTAATGGTTATTTTAAAATGCATATTTATTGTACATGTTAAATGTGTACTGTGTACTATGACATCTTGGTTTAAGTAAACAGAGGGAAACGAATAGTTAGGTGAGTAGGAGCACAGAGCAATGTCTGAAGTAAAGTGTAAACCTTCATCTTCTTTCTGTGTGAGCAAATTCTAGCATGTCCCTGTGCTCAGCAATCTAAAAGCTCTGTGTAACAGATTCTTACAGGAATTGATGATGGTCTGTGTTGAAATAGGAGCGGCAGGGCTGCGTCCCCGGCACCCGGCCGCCCGCATGGCTAGTTTATACCCAGAAATAATTACACGGAAACTGTATTCTTTCAAACACTGCCTGGCCCGGCTAGGTCCAGTTTCTTATTGGCTAGCTCTTACATATTGTTCTAACCCATTTCTAATATTCTGTGTAGCCCATGAGCTGGCTTACCAG